CCTTTTTAGGTTTGTGCCTGTGGACCACACTGTGTGAACAGCCTGCTTCCTCCCCTCACAGTGACCCTGCGAGCAGTTTCCCAGGTCACTAAGTAGTCCTTGAATATCTGATTCTGAAAAGTTGCCTGACATTCCATTGTTTGGTTTTACCGTGATTGATTGACCTGATCAGGCCCCCATTTTTCATGATTATAGAGCTGCTATCATGAGCATTACTCTGAGAAATCTTTGATGATTTGAGAGGTGAAAGGGACATCTGTTTTAAATTTGCATATGTCTTTGAATGTTAGGTTGACTATTTAAGAAAACTATTGATCACAGCAGAGGTTTATGGTTATTGTAGTGGCCACTGGCCAGCTGTTTAGGGGCATGTTCGTACGATCCAGCTTCAGGATGGCTTCTCATGTCGGTGTCCTTGCTTGCAGGGTCACATCAGGACCTACCTGGCCAGGTTCCCGGCGGTGAAGGTGAGGCCGTACGGAGTGCCTCCAGGATGCTTAGCTTGTGTTGCTGCTGTTCTGAGTTTTACATTTCTCTTTTTCCCCCGTGTTTTCTTATTTTTTATTGAATTTATTGGGGTGACATTGGTTAAAAAACTATATAGGTTTTGGATGTACAATTCTATAGTACATCAGCTGTACATTGTATTGTGTGTTCACCACCCCAAGTCAAACCTCATTTCATCACCATTTATCCCCCCTGTACCCTCTTCTACCTCCCCCTACCCCCCTTCCTCTCTGGTGATCACCATGCTGTTCGTGTTTACGAGCCCCCCCTTAATCCCTTCACCTGGTTCACCCAGCCCTGAGATCCCCTCCCCTCTCACAGCTGCCAGTCTGTTCTCTGTGTCTATGAGTCTGTTTCTATTTTGTTTGCTAGTTTATTTTTTTCACTAGATTCCATATATAAGTGAAATCATGTGATATTTGTCTTTCTCTAATTGGCTTATTTTACTTAATACTCTCTGGGTCCATCCATGCTGTCGCAAAGGGTGATATTTCCCTCATTTTTCAGCTGCATAATATTCCATTGTGTAAATGTACCACGGCTTTTTTATTCACTCATCTCCTGATGGACAGTTGGGGTGTTTCCAGGTCTTGGCTATTGTAAATAACACTACAGTGAACATGGGGGTGCATATATTCTTTCAAATTAATGATATACCTCCAACTCTGTTCTTCTTTCTCAAGATTGTGGTAGTTATTTGGAGTCTTTTGTGGTTCTATATAAATTTTTTTAAAAATATATCTTTACTGATTTCAGAGAGAGGAAGGGACAGGGAGAGAGAGAGATAGAAACATCAATGATGAGAGAGTCATTGATCGGCTGCGAGCCCACAACCCAGGCATGTGCCCTGACCAGGAATTAAACCTCGATCGCCTAGAGCCTAGGTTGATGCTCAACCGCTGAGCCACGCCCAGCCGGGCTATATAAATTAAAAAAAAAAAAATCTTTATTGATTTTAGAGAGAGGAAAGGAGAGGGAGAGAGAGAAAGAGAAAGATCAATGATGAGAGAGTCATTGATCGGCTGCTTCTTGCACATCCCCGACTGGGGATTGAGCCTGTGCCCTGACCGGGAATCGAACTCCAATCGCCTGGATCCTAGGTCAATGCTCAACCACTGGGCCACACCCGGCTGGGCTATATAAATTTTTGGAATAGTTGTTCAAGTTCTGTAAAACACACCATTGGTATCTCGATAGGAATTGTGTTGAATCTATAGGTTGCTTTGAGGAGTGTGGACACTTTAATGATGTTAATTCTTCCAGTCCATGGACATGGTATATGCTTCCACTTATTTGCACTTCCTCAGTTTCCTTCTTTGTGTCTTATCATTTTCTGAGCACAGGTCTTTTACCTCCTTGCTTATCCCTAGGTGTTTTATTTTTTGCATTTCTTTTCTAACTGAATTTCTGTTAGTTTCTGTTTGATGGATCCCATTGTTTTCAGTGTTTACAGGATTTATACGAGTTATGTTCTTTGCACGTATTTTCTTCATTTTGTCTGTTGCCTTTTGATTTGGTCTGTGTTGTTCTGGATCTCCTAAAGGGTTTTTGAAGTGTATGTAAACCTGTGCTTCCTTTGATTAACAAAAATCATGTCCAGTCTGTAGGTTCCCATGCCCCCCTCTTAGGCTCCCTCCCTCCCTCCCTACCTACCTACCTACCTCTCTCTCTCTCTCTTTCTCTCTCTCTCTCTCTCTGTGGAGGACCAGAGCCCCTTCTGCATGTGTCCCTCGCAGGCAAGGTGTTTCAAGCTTTACTTCTGTATCTTGTTATGAAAATACATGTCCCTCCCCTAGCATAAAATTTCTTGCTCATGAGCTTTTGTCAAGGACTTCTGAGTTATTTTCATCCATTTAGTCTCTTAGATGTATTTGGTCATTACTCAGCCAGATTTAAAAATACCTCACTTGCATTTTGATCAGATTTGTGTTAAATATGTACATTAATTTGGAAGGAATTGATCTGTTTTTATTTGGGGCTTTGGACTCTCTCTCCATTTATTTAAGGTGGGAGGAATGTTCCTTGTAGGTCCTGTACCTCTCTGCTCTTTGATGCTTCCTCTTCGAGTTGTCACTGTAAGTTCTCTTATTTTATGTTTCTATTATTTGTTTGTTAGATTCATTCTCTATCCTATAGAGTTTTGCAATATGTTTCTCATTAAAATACTGATTAAATAACAAATATTCAATGCTTGCTCTTTAAGGCATCACAGGAAATGTTGAGGGGATAGAAGATGTGGGTCTCAGAAACTTTGTTTTTCCTTCAACACATGGGGTGGTTCAACTTTTCACCGGAACCTGATATGCCCCAATAACCTCTCTTTAAGAAAGTCTTTTAAAGTTTTCATTGTTTGTTTCAGATATTTTTTGCATATAGCATGCTATCTCATTTTTACTGGTTCCCAAAATAGATGACTTTTTTTATTCCCTATGTTCCTCGATACTAATTACTTTCTGTGCTTCTAGGTTGACTTGTGCTCCCTACGCATTTATCATAACAGGGAGGCGTTAGAAATAGCACCGTCCTGCCTGGTGGTGATTACCTAGAAAGATTAGGACGGATAACTTCTCATAGCACCTTCCTCCGCGGCTGTTAGTACGTTTCCCCCTGCTTTGCTCACCTGGTGACCCATTATAAAAAATCAGCATTACGAGTCGCTGCTCCCAGATGGAGAGCCCTGCTATCCATACGTTCTGTCAGAGCTCTCGGGGTGGGCGGCACTTCACGTGCAGGCAGGAGCCTGCGTGATTCCTGGGGCCCTGTGTGAAATGCAGCTGCAGGCTCCTGGTCGGGATGTCATTAGGAATCCAACATGGGGACAGCAGAGCATTAGTCTGGGGCCCTTGCAGCTCACGGGTGGCCTGAGCTGGCTCTGCCCTGACCCAGGACTGTGCAGAGGAGCCTCAGCTCCTGAAGACCGTGAGGCGAGTCCTTTTCAGCTTTTCTTGCATTTTTCTTACATAAACCGACCCTCTTTGCTCTTGTGGACACAGCAGTGACAGAAGGCTGGTGGAGAGCATGCTGGCCTTTAAGATACTGTGAATGTCACAGCCGTGGCTGGGAAGGGAGCGTGTCTGGTGGTGACAGAGTGACAGCAGCCTTGCTTCCGGCGGAGACCTCACGCTCAGTAGCTCCGACACTGCCATTGAGATGTTATTGGCTGTGGTGCTTTGGGGTCCATTTTCAGCAGTGTCCTGAGGATGAGCCACATGGAAAATGGAAAATGAGGTCTCGTTTCTGTTCGGCACGTCCGGCTGCCGCCAGCTGGAGGCCTCTCGCTGCTGCGCACGGTCCAGCAGGACGGCAGAGCCGCGCAGGGCCAGGCAGAGCCACAGCTGGCTGTTCGGATCCTCATTACCGCACCTCCGCCGAGGCCGCTCTGCAGAGCTCCTGCCTGCTGCCACCGAGCCCCGTGTGACAGCGGGCTTGCCTGGGAGGGCAGTGCCATTGGCTCTCACTCCGCACCTCGGGCAGGAGGGGAGCGGCTGCACGGTTCCTGCTAATTCCTCACAGCCTCTGTCCTTGGAACAAGAGCAAGCTGGGCCACGGCAGCCCATCGCCCGGGGTTCCCGCTCCCTCCCGCAGGACCCCCGCCTGCCCCAATCTGTCACTTAGAGCGCCTCGTGTGCAGAAGAGGCTGCTGCCGGGCACTGGTCTGAATCTTTGGCTACACCTGCATGAGAGCACCCTATAGAATTGCTAGAATAGGGCATTGGCTCCCAGGGCAACTGAGGCTGGTTTTATTTTATCCTGTGACATCACCAGCCGCGGGCCAAAGAGCACCTGCCCTTCCCCGCTCCTGTCTCATCTGCTCTGCCCCGTGACTCGCATCTCACCTTTGTCTGTCTGCAGAAGTCAGTCATCTAGGGAGGGTGCTGTTTGGTTGTTACGGCGATGGTCACTTTTCAGGATGCGAGGAAATGGGTGTGTGCAGGCTCAGCTGTGTGCAGGCTCCCCTGGGAAAGTGCGCTGTGCGCGCCTGGGCGTGATGGCCCTTTGTGGCCAGGTGGCTCTGAGGCAGCTCTGAGCTGGTCAGCGGAGGAGCGGGGCCTCTGGTCTCACTCACGCTGTCGTAAGCACCTGAAGGTTCGGCCTTATTTAGAGCATGTGCAGAAGCGTTCGTTCTATGCGTCCGTGTGCACCTGCTCCCCAGCCCCTCACGTCTCTGGACCCCTCTCTCTGCTCCGACGTTCACCGTCCTGTCTGGGCTCCGCTCTCTTAGACTCCGCTGCTCTCGTTTCCCATCCCCACTGCTCGTGGCCTCATCAGTCAGAGGACGTTTTGCCTCCTCAGTGTCTCCGTCAGCGACAGGGTGGGCGTCCAGGTTCGCCCCGGCCACCTCCCTGCGTTCTCAGGCCGACGCCTGGGTGAGCAGTGCGGGGCTTCCCCACGGGCGCCGATGCCAGCTGGGAGGCGTCCTCATGCAGCGGCTGCCACGGAGAATCGTGCCCTGCATCGGTGTATAGTAACTTGAAAACATTAAATATTTTCAGGGTACATTGAAAATGGATACGTGAAGCTCGTTGTGATACATTTTCAAAACAGCAACGAACATCTGCCTCTTATTGGGAAAGTCGGCCTGTCCTGGAGAACTGACATTTTCGATGGCTGCGTAAAGGTAATCGGCTGCTTTCTTTTCTTAAAGTAGCTGGTCTCTGAATAATGAAATGTCTGTTGGTGTAGACGTATGATTAGCTGTTCTGGTGCCAAAGGAGTGTGTGTCCTTTAGCCACTGCCAGTCAGCGGGTGCTTCCTGAGGGGGAGAGGGGCAGGTGGCCTGCGTCAGAGCCTCCTGAGTGAGGTGGGGGCAGGTGGCCTGTGCCAGAGCCTCCTGAGTGAGGTGGGGGGCAGGTGGCCTGTGCCAGAGCCTCCTGAGTGAGGTGGGGGCAGGTGGCCTGTGTCAGAGCTTTCTCGTCTGGGAGCTCGTGGTCCTGGTCATGCGGGAGCAGAGGGGCGATGACTTGAGCTGTCATCAGGCTGAGCGGCTGCCCCGCGACCTAGACAGGCATCAGGACCAAGATCCAGGCTCCGAGGGGCTCTGGGGGCCTTGTTGGTGGGCACCCTCTGCTGTAAGCACTCCTCTGCCATGGGCACCCTCTGCCATGGGCACCCTCTGCCGTGGGCAGGGCTCTTGGCCCTGGCCTGCATCTTTGCTGTCAGGGGTCAGGGACATTTCACGTAGCCTGTTCTCACTCAGGTCTCCTCAGCAGGTGGAAACACTGCACAGTGGTCACTCATCAGACATCTCATTTTTCTCAACTTTTGGAATGCTTGTGTTTCTTGTGTTCCTCTAAGGTGCAGTTCTTGAGTCTAGACCCTTTGATCTGCTTGTGCTCAGGTCCGAGTGGTCAGTGCTGTCGGCCTGGTAGTTGTGTGCTGACCTCTGACGCAGGTTTACGCTCACGCCTGTGGTATCTCCGTCTCTGTAATTAAGCTGCTACCTACGCTCAGTCCATGCTGATCTCTGAGAATAGTGCCTCAGTTGCAGTTAATAAAACACTAATATAGGGCACGAGTTATGGCAAATAATGAGCAGGTCTGAAAAGGTTAGTGTGAGAAGAGTTTACCCTTGATATCGTCTCATTGTGTCTTGGGAACTGAATTATTGACTCTTGAGAATTAAATAAAATATATATGTAAACTGCTGGTATCAGTGTCTGGTACATAAACCATGTTAAAAAATACAGCTCATGCCCAGCCCGCGTGGCTCAGCGGTTGAGCATCGACCGAGGACCCAGGAGATCTCGGTTCAGTTCCCGGTCAGGGCACATGCCCGGGTGGCGGGCTCGATCCCCAGTGGGGGGCGTGCGGGAGGCAGCCGATCAATGACTCTGTCACCATTGATGCTTCTCTCTCTCTCCCTCTCCTCCTCTCCCTTCCTCTCTCTGAAACCAGTAAAGACATATTTAAAAAAAATACAGCTCACATGGTACGTGCGTTTTCATAGCAGCCTTAGACACAGTAGCCAAGAGGTGGGAGTTAGGCCGGCAGCCAGAGGAAGCGGCTGCTTCGCCCTCACGTGTATAAATGTCTGTGCTTGTCTCGTAGAGTTGTTCTGTAATGGACGTAACTCTCTTGGATGAATATGGGAAACCCTTTTGGTGTTTCAGCTCCCCGGTTTGCATGCGATCGTCTCCCAGCCCCTCTGACGGCCCTCATTTCGTGGGGCCCACGTACTGTATCGACTACGAGGACCCAGCAGGAAGGGTGCACGTGGAGCTGGTGTGGATTGAGGAGACGGAAGAGTACTTCATGGTCAGCCTGGTCCTCTACCTCAGCGTGGCAAAGATAAACCGCTGGTTCGGGACACAGTACTAAATACCGCAGTCGGTGGGCAGCTGTTGCCATATATTTGTTTACTTTGGACTGACCAGATTTATTCTCGGTGTTGGAAGTAAAAATAAAACAGTAGTCCTTTCGATGCCTCCTTATTTCACATTAGAGACTGTGATTCTTGGGTCATTTTAAAGTGCATTTCAGAGGATTAAGTTAAATTTTAACAACACGAACATAGCACATCCTGATGAAAAAGTCATATAAAATACAGAGAAAATATATTTACTTCTCTCCTGCCCTTACAATTTGAAAACAAGCAGTTCTGCTTATGCACGTGGTCTGTGTGTGTGTGCGGTATGGATACATTTTTTTCTTGATTGGTTAGAGCCCCAAATGAGAAAACATATTNCCCTGATGAAAAAGTCATAAAATACAGAGAAAATATATTTACTTCTCTCCTGCCCTTACAATTTGAAAACAAGCAGTTCTGCTTATGCACGTGGTCTGTGTGTGTGTGCGGTATGGATACATTTTTTTCTTGATTGGTTAGAGCCCCAAATGAGAAAACATATTTACATGCGGGCCCCCTGGAATTTATTACAATTAGAAAGTGCTGCACTTACGGCATTCGGCAGCCACATCAGTGTTTATCAAAACAAAGCAAAGCCGGCGGACAACCTCCTTCACGAGGAAAGACGCATCCGAAATCCTCAGGAGAAGCGCTGTTGCCCCAGCGGCACGAATGCGGGCCTGACGGCCGTGCGGACGGAGCTGGACGCCTGAGCCCAGGCGCCTCCTCCGCAGGCGCTTCAAGAGCGTCAAGGGACGCCGGGGGCTCACACAGGTGACATGTGAGGAGGCAGGTGCTTCCAAATTTGTTTCAGAGTGTACCGATTACATTTTTATTATATTTTTATCTCTAACTTATTTTTAGAAGTGATTTTTTTACTTTTATTTTTATTTTTTGTTATCCTCTCCTGAGGATATTTTTCCCATTGATTTTTAGAGAGTGGAAGGGGGTGGGAGGGGAGAGACGTTGATGTTAGAGAGACACACCCATTGGTTGCCTCCCATGTGCCCGACCGGGGCTGGGGATTGAACTTGCAACCCAGGTACATGCCCTCGACTGGGAATCGAACCCAAGACCAGTGCGCAGGCCAGTGCTCTAACCGCTGAGCACACCAGCCAGGGCTGAAACGCCGCGTTGCTCCTGCCGGGCATGTGCGCCCACGTGCCCCTCCTGCCCACTTCTCATGCTGAGCCGCCGGTTTTCTCTTGGAGGCGGGTGTGTGGGTGCGAGTGTAGGACAAAGACCCGGGCGACAGCGGTGGGAGGGTCCTGCTTCCAACACGGTCCTCACCCTGCTGACCTCCCAGGCCTGGCAGAGCCCTTGGGACAGCGAGCACAGGGCGGTGCTTCTTCATGGTGTCACCGAGGAGGAGGCGTAGAGCACCTGCCCAGCCGGTGAGAGTCGGGAGAGGGCTGGAGCCACGAGCCGAGGTGAAGGGGACGGGTCAGGAGGCAGTTGGCAGAGGCCACGTGTCACCTGCAGGACGGAAGTGCAAGGTGACCACGGAACAATGCGGGGCCCCTGACCTCCTGGGGAACCTGGTGGTGGGGCTGGATGTCCTGCAGCACTGGGAGCAACGTGGAGCTGGAGGAGAGGCCTGGCCTCTTCGCCCCAGATGAGGGGCATTTGGAGAGCATGGGAGGCCTGCTGCGTTTGTGCTGCGATCGGGGGAACCGTGTGCAGGGCTTAACCTGACGACCCGTGTCCACGCTGCCCCGAGTGTGCGCTTGGCACCTGTCCCCCCCAGACTGCGAGCAGGGCCACGAGTCCTGTTTATCCCCAGGACCTAGCAGGACACCAGGCTCACAACCCGCACACAGCAGCTATTTGCTGAGTCAGAGGAAACTTCCGTCAGGAATACACGCGCCGAGGCTGGAGAGGAAGGAAGTGGGTAGGTTCTGAATGAGCGTCGAAGGAAGGGCACTGGGCAGAGGGCGAGGGGGCAGAGGCGGAGGAAGGGCACTCGCCGTCCTGGCGTTGGGCTGCCATCAGGGCGCCCTGCACCCCAGACATCACCGCGTGATCCGGGCCTGGGGCCGCGTCCCTCCTCTTAAAGCTGTGTTCTCAGATTCGCCTCCATATTTCCAAATAACATTCCCCTGCCGCTGTTTCTGGACTCACCGACTCTAGACGTATTGAGTTGAGGGAGAGACGCTCTTTTGCCCCAGCCGGGGGGTCAGGAGAGCTCGTGTGCATGCGTTTCGCAGAAGATGCGCCAGCGCCTTTGCAGAGGAGCAGGAAACAACGCGGTGCAGCTGACCGTTCCGTCTGGCGTCCTCGCCAAGCACGCACTTTACCTGCGTGGTGTTGAGGTACAAATCTCACTCTCCTTACACTTCCCTGCACGTTTTTTGCTCATCTGTTCACACCGCTGAATAGATCCCCAGTGTGCTGCTTTTAACTAGAGTGTCACGGTCCACAGGGCGCGTTTCCCCAGTTTTTATTCGTCCCGCTGGTTCTCGGCAGCACATCAGTTGCCTCTTGCTACATAAACATGCCAAGAGCTCGTGCCTTCAGACAGCTGCTGCTGCTCCAGAATCTGTGGACGACAGGTGGGGACCTGAGCAGCGGCCCCGTGTTCTGGGTGTGGCCGCGGTCAGCCGGCGGGACCACCTCCAGCGGTCTCACCACCGACTGGACGACCCCTGGGCTGCGAGTCCCAGAGGCCAGCAGGCCGCCCAAACCCTGAGGCTGCTCAGGGCCCCGAGGATCCGGTCGTCGGGAAGTGTTATCATGGTGATTGAGGAGCAGAGTCAGGAGAGCCAAAAACTTGGACTTTTCTCTAAAAGAGAACTTCAAAATTACTCATTTTTGTTGTTGAAATGGCTCATAATTACACCCAGCATGTGTTTTCTGAATTGTCACCAAAATAGTCACTCTCAGAATTAGGCTCACTTTCAGGATTGTGGTGACTGCCCATCGCCAGATTCCACGCAGCCACGAGTGTGCGCACGAGACTGACAAAGACGGCATCGCAGGTGAGGCAGGAAGGGGAGGACGGCCGGGCGCCTCACTCCCACCTGCTGGGCGTTTGCTTACTCCCTGGGCTCATCCATTCAGCGCACACTTATCGAATGCTGGTTTGTACCGGACTCCAGGAAAAACAGGCGAATAAAACATGTTCTCCCGAGGAAATAATAATCCAGGTGGAAGGGGTCATGTGTTCCTAAAACTGACCACACAGGCAGAGCTGGAGAAGAGCCACGAGGGGGTTTTGGACCAAGTGCTGTAGGGCGTGGGGAGCAGACGCTTTCTTCTCGAGGGAAAGGTGGAACTGATATTTATTAAGCAGATCCCGTGTCCCGAAGACCCATTATCCACGTTGTCCGGGTTCCAAAAGGTGGCCTCTGCGCTGATATGAGGGTCAGAGGAAGAAGGAAGGAGCCGCTTGGGGAGCGGGGTGAGCAAAATCACGGGGTGAGGGGGGACGGAGCACGTCCGTGAACCAGAAAGTGGGCAGGCAGGTGGGAGAGTAATGATGGGGAAGTGCAGGTGGGTTCAGACCACACTCCAGAGGCCGTGGATGCCAGGACCCCGTTGGCACGTCGCTTTGCAGGAAGAGGGAACACGGGTTTCTAAGCACCAGAATGATGTGGTCACAGTTCTGCTTTAGGAAAGTCAACCTGAATGAATTCAGAGTTTGCTTAAAGCTCCTAGTGAGGTGCGAGAACCTGAAAATGAGCTAAGAGGATACTGGAAAAACACAAAAGGAGGGATCTCCTGCTGGGAAGGATGGTGCAATTTCACAGGGCCCCTGCTCCCAGGATGACCCTGGGCTGCTTTCTCCCTGGTTCCTACCATTAGAGGGGATCATCTTGTTTCCATGTTTACTTGTTTAAAGTCCTCCCCCCCCACTGGAATAGGGGATCAGGGACCTCACCTGCATCATTTGTCCTCAGCGCCAAGAACAAGGCCGCACACACGAGAGGCAGTCTTTAATTATATTTTGAACGAATCAAGATTAATGGAAAACAGATAGAGGTTGAAAATACTTGAGTCCTAGTTTGATTTGATTTTCTCCAGTAAAAATGGATTTGGGGACTGATACGGGAACTGTCTAACCTCTGTGTAGAGCCGTACTGTTTTCAAAGCACTTACGCATATTTATACCCCTGACAGCCACACAAGCCAGTTTGAAAGGTGGTCATGTGTTCATCTGATGTCTATTGGGCACTTACTCTGGCCAGAGGTTGTGCCATGTTGTGCTTACAAAGACGCCTTTGCAACAATTCCTGCAATTGTAGGTCTCACAGTCTGATGTAGACAACCCATATCCACAGAGAATCATAATGCAACATGTCTGTGTTAGGGTTTCCCAGAGAACAGAACCAGTAGGATGTGCATATATAAAGAAAGAGATTTACGATAAGGAATTGACTCCCGTGATTATGGAGGCTGAGATGTTCTAGGAGCTGTGATTGGCAAGAAGGAGACCCAGGGGAGCTGATGGTGTGGTTCTGTCCAGATCCAAGAGGCTCCAGACCCAGAAAAGGCTCATGTTTCAGTTTGAGTCCGAAGGCAGGGAAAGCACGTTGCAGCTCGAAGGCAGTCAGGCTGGTGCGTGTGTGTGTGTGTGTGTGTGTGTGTGAGGTTGTTTGTTCTTTTCAGGCCTTCAACTGATTGGGCGAGGCCCACCCACCTGGGGAGGGCAATCTGCTTTCCTGAATGCACTGATTCAATGTCCATCTCCCTCAGAAACCCCCTCCCAGCACACCCAGAGTCCTGTTAGACCAGCTGCCTTTGCACCCGGTGGCCCAGACGAGTTGACACACGAAAGTAGGTGTTGCGACACCCATTGTTATTACAGAGATGTAACCAACTTCCATTTAGCCGACTCCTTCTTGGGCGATTAGAGGCCTTGTGAAGGAGGCAACCATAGAAACAGCTGGTCCGTGTTACTATCATCTCCGCTATTTTAGAGGAGGGAATAGACACTCGGGGATTAAGTCATTTCCCGTCACACTCAGACGGCAAGTGATAAAGCCAGGAGCTGAGCCCACGTCTCCGGGCTCCAAATTCTGTACTTTTTTGTTATCCAGAATAAGCAATTCTAAGAAAATTGTATTTTAAGATCATGAAAGAACA